TGATTTGCATGCAGGAGCTAGAGATCTCAAATTAAGATTGTTGCATCTCTAGTTTAAAAGGTCTTATAACCCCATTATTCTCTGCACACATCACCATAATACTTATTTAAATCCCTGAAGGTTGTGTTGTAATGCTATCGAAATAACATGGAATTTGTACTGATTTTGAATGAAGGAATGAATATACCTTACAGAATTCTGACTTCTGAGTTCTCTTATTTCTGAAGAGATTGTAAATAAAGGACATTCAAAAGCCTAACATGACTTGAATTTTTCATAGCTTTATATTTTGGCTCCAAACTCCAAAGAACTACAATTTCCAGGATTCCATAGCATTGAGTCAGAACAGTAAAAGTGGTGTCAAGCTGGATTAATTCTACATTGTAGTTTCACTCAAGGAAGCTCAGGCAGGATAAACAGTAGAGGCTTCTTGAGGGAAGAATTTCCTATTTCTCTGATTTTGCTGTCAATTGCTGGAAGATTTGGTATCCCGACACTTTTGTTTTTAAAAAAGGAATTCTAAGAGGTGGCAACTGTAATGCACACATTTTTGGTCAAATTACAGAGTGCACTTTTTCCACTGGGCATTATATTTGCCAACAAATACTTTTGGTGGTTTCAGAGTTTTGAAAATTAAGGTGTGCATTGCATTAGAAGGTGAACTAGATTCTAGGAAATTTGGTACTATCCAAGGAAAAAGAGGTGGGGATGGAAGTGGGGATTAAGTCTGGCAGAAACTGCTTGCGATTTCTCAGCCAGTTGAAATGATGACTCTCCCTGGTCACTGGTACCAAGGCATGATGGAACTGAGCCTGGCTGCTCTTCCCTCCCTCAGAGGCCACAATATTGCAGTTGAAATGGAGGGATGGCTTCTCATGTTAACTTTCATTTACATTTAGCTATATATATATGTATTCGGTACTTATAGTAATATTTCTTTTTGGTAATGCTTTGAATATTCCAAAAGGAAACACCATTTGAAGCAACTGCTGCATATCAGCACTGAAATCAGTGTTGTGTAATGCCATGTCATTTCCTTCTTTCTTTACAGATATGTTTAAGCATGACCCTCTAGAGGGCAAAGCTTGATTAAGCAATCCATATATTGAGCTTTAAACAAATGCTACTATAGTTATTAGCTTTGGGCACTGCCACTCACTGAGCACTATTTAAATGCTGCATTCAATTCCCAGCAGTAGTTAAATAAAATATTTAATTGTATGTTCATGTTGGATAATGCAAAATCATAGCCGTGTTGTCATTTACTGAACAAGCACCATGAATGAGCATGTCAGATAACATTTGCCAAACTTTTGCTAAAATATTAAATGCCTGCTCTGTTTTCTCACCAGTCTTTTAATTGGTTTGTTCATGCCATACTACTTTTATTGAACCTAATTCAGTACATCTTCCAGTTCAATAAAAGGGGAGTTCATGTTTCCAATCTCAAATTCTTACAGACTCTTAAATCAGGACATTCTAATTGAAGAATAGAAGTGGTGATTGATGCTGTGTTTTTATACTGAATCAAGTGTGCACTAAAATATACTAAAAGATTATGTATTGAACTGCTGCTGAGAAATAGACAATAGAAAACAGTGCAGAATTTTAGCAGTGTGCTCTATTCCTACTCTCTGAGATAATCTTGCTGCAGTTTGAATGTAGTGTTCTTTGTTTGCCTTTGTTTCAAATAGTGAGTTGGTGTTGTGAGCCACTTCTAAGCACTTTAGCCTGGCAGGTAGGGTGCAAATGATTCAATGAAATAAAACAGTAATAGATACTAACCTTAACAAGAAAGAGTTTTAGCCTTCAAAGGAGAAGGACTATTGTGCTTTATTTTAAGCCAGGAGTTAGAATTTTGCAGTCCTGCATAAGTGTTTATAGCAGCAGATCTAGCCAGCATAGCTAATAGTGAAAGATGCAGTTCTGCAATACCGAGATAGATAAGCTTTGCATACGTAAACTAAACCATTTTGAACATATAGACCACCTGAAAATGTCATTTAGGGTAGGGCCTTTGTAATTCTCAGCCAGAGAGGTCCTTGACTTCTATAACCAACACTTCCCAGATTTCTTCAGGAGGCAGTCACACGAAAACAAAACTCTCCCACCTGCAACAGCAACGTGATGATGTCCTGAGAGAATATAATTTGCTCAAAGTCACCCATTAGGTTTCCATGGTTGAATAGGGATTTGAATATAATTGTGTTTTTCTCATGTGGAACATTTAAAATGACTCACTTTTTTGTTCCTGGTGTAAACATTTACAGCTAATGTGAATATTCTAGGAAAGTAAATTAGAAACCTATCTACAAAGGAAACATTTCTGTTCCCATTTATTCCTGACAATTCAAAGTTTAGATGTATAGTCCTTCTGCTTTAGAGTCATTTCTTTCAAGAGACTAAGCATTTAACTTTAGTTTCAAGGTTGTTGATATTATAGCTGGCTACAGTTGTCTTTCTCCTGTTTTTATTTTTTATTTGGTCCTTGAGACATCTCCACCTGAAATGGCCTTACATTCTGCTAGGAGAATAATGATAGCTTTGGAGTGGCTATCACTGTAAAATGATATTTTGTTGCTAACCTGGCACCTATCCAACTTAGCACGCATGACAAAAATGTGTTCTGTTCTAAAGTATGTCTGTCAGTAATAACTATTTAACGTACAGTTAAATGGCAGTTCACTGAATTGGATATTTTCAATTTGGCCGAGTGATAGTGAATAACCTGGCTAGAAAAACAAAAGCAATAACTGAGAAGCAGCAGGAATAAATAGAGAAGAGACAGTGCCATGAAATCATACTGCTGAGACAGGGGTAGTATAGCAAGATTTCAACATTTGGAATATGTATCAGCAGGACCATGGTCAGCTCCAATCTAGCAGCTCATTTGTTTAATTTAGGTGTAGAAGGCTGCTAACACAAAATGCCCTGTAGGGCTTGAATATCCACTTATAGCTAAAACAAAGAGCAGACTGGATCTACTCGAATGGAATACAAGTAGTGCATGTAGCTATTTCAGTTCTTTTATTTTTTTTTTATGCGGTGAGGATAATCCAAAACTGGGAAGCTAGTGGCATCATGTACTCCGAGTCTTATGTGAGATTTGACATACTGGCAAAATATTAAAACTTGGGGTTACGTTATGATTATTATTATGATTATTATTTTATGGTAGTAGAATGTGATAAGGGAGAGCCTGCAGGAAAAATGGAACATACAGTTGATCCTTGGTATATGCTGAGGTCCCTCATGGAAACCAAAATATATGGATGCTAGAGTCACATTATATACAATGGCATAATAAAATGGTGTTCCTTATATAGATGGGCAAAATCAAAGGTTGCTTTTAGGAATTTTGGGGTTCTTTTGGAGGGGGGGGTTAAGCTATGGATGGTCAAATCTTGGATGCAGGATTTGTGGATATGGAGGGATAACTATGCAAATTTTTAAAATGTGTGTGGGGGGGGGAGGTTACAATAGCAGGGAAACTGGGAGAGGGGGTTGCCTGTGATTGAAGAACTGGTTTGTACACGTAAAAAAGCAGAGGGAGGAAATCTGGAGCACACTTTCCCACTACAAGAATAAAAATAAAACAATCCAGACTTGTGTAAGGTGAATCCAGTTGCTCCCTCTCCCTTTTATAAGAAAAAAAATGTGATATTATTCTTCCTGCCAATCTGGCTTTTTTAAAATGCTACTCCTGTTAAAAATATAAAAGGAAGTAGTCAGGAATAAATTAATATATGTTGATCATACTATCTTCAAAAGTTGAAGACACAGATACTTGCCAACTATGTTGCTAATAATGTATACAATTTTAATATTTCATGAGTGAGAAGAACAGCCAGTGGAGAGGATATGTAAGATCATTTGCCTGATTCTGTCAAACGGCTGCATCAGCATTCTATTTTTATTTAGGAACATGGAAGTTTGCTTGCTTTGAATGGTGTTAATCTCCATATTAAAAATTATGAACATAAGTTCTCGGGATCAGAATGGCCTGTGACTACCTTTCAAATATGCTATTATTTCCAAAGTCATCCCTAGCCTTTCCCTTGCCTACCCTTTTGAAAATAAACTTTGGAAATAGCAAGGAAAGCTGCTGTAAATGGACAGGAATCAAAAGCTCTTTGGAAGTTTTGCAAAACTCTGTGCGTTTATGAGACTAAAATTAACTTTGGTACCTGGTTGTTTTGGGGGAGAAACATATTCTTTTCCCCATAAGTTTGAGCATTCTGATTTCTACTTGGTTCTTTTTAGAGGTGCAACTGTTTAAAACTCTCATTTTTTGTTGAGATATTGCATAGTTATTTTTATTATATTGTGATATGTGTTTTGTGACCTTTGTATACAAAAGGATGAAAAATGAATTCAAAAATTCTTTAAAATAAGGACATAAATAAATAAGCAAAACATAGGCATAATCAAGCTCTACATTTTAGCTGTGACCCTTTAATACTGAGAAAGAAGACTAATATTTACAGTGTATAGAAAGGACTTGGAAATGTTAGAATTTTAAATTTCAGATCCTAGATTACATTGTCAGTATTGTTTATAGTAACAAATACGTGTGCACTGCCTGACATTAATGTTTTTATCCAATACATCTGAATGTATGAGAATCCCACAAGGCAATCTGTGTAAGACATTAAGCTAGCATCTGTACACATATCAATCATAGAATCAGAAGCTGCAGAAATAAATTAGATAATCATTCAAAAGCATACCCAACCATGGATGCTGCCATCCAACAGCACTGCACTTTACTGGATGTTTATTAAAATGTTTATCTCACTACATCTATACATGTATAACTAGAATCCATACATTTCAAAGCATTCGCCATTTTTTATTTTTCTCTTTCTTAATACTGTCAATATTTTTGTATTTCAGTGGGAGGAATCATTTGGGAGCATATATGTTAAAGCATAGAATTTCAATGCTTTGGTGGAGAAATTCATATTGATAATCAAAATATTTATTTATTTATTTAACAGGTCTGAAGGTGAAAGTTCAAGAAGCATCAGGTATGTACTTCATTTCTTCACCCTTGCTATATCACCTCTGTGGAACTAGTTTTGTTAGGAACTCATAATATATATATATATTAATAAATGTTCTGCAATATTGTACAACAACAGATCTTTTGACATTGTAGTGTTGTCAATGCAAGACTACAAACAATGAGTTTCTAAAACATGCCAAAGTAATTGTGCTTTAGTTATAAATAATAAGCAAGCTAATTTAAGAATTTTTAAAAGGATATTTTCTATATTTTAGACAATTCCAAAATCATTTAAAAGAATTGTATATGGATAATAGCCAGAGATGTACATATATCCAATGTCGTGTCATATACAATTGTTTTCTCCAAGATTTAGATTTGAGTTGCATGCTGTCTGAAAAAAAAGGGAAAATGTGTCTTTTAAAAATAATTTGATTTTCAGAAAATGGATGCTTGGGAGTTTACTTGTAGTTAAAGATGTATCTGTTAGTGTTTTCCCCCCATAATTTATAGTAAATAATTTAACACAATTTTTACTGTCAGGGGAGATTTTATTCAGGTTTCTGTGGTACTAAAGCTCATTTTCTTTTTTGGAGTAATCCAAATTTGTTTTCTTTTTCTTGTCTGAAGTTAAATACTTTGCATCTACTTCAAATTAAGCATAATATTATGTAACAAAATTTGGGGGGAAATGTTATTGGTTTGAAAGTTTAATTGTGCTGTACTTACTTTGAAAGTAGTTGTTACACTCCAGAAACTTTGTTTTTGTGCTGCCACAAACTATCTTGAATTGGTTGAGAGACAAGGAGATATTCATTGAAAAACTATAGCAAAATGTGCTGCAGGGTGTCCCACAAAAACAACGTTTTTGCAGTTTAATAAGCTTTTCCCATGTTTTTATGATACAACCAATTAGGAAATGACATTTATAACCAGGGAACAAAAACTGTGTTACATAGTGTAATTCAGTCAGTCATTATTGACTGCTTACCAGATTAGTGATGGGTTATCCTTGTGGGGCTGGGAACCAAATTATCACCCCTGAACCTGCCACAGGTCATGTTGGGACCAGAGTTGGGCTGAGCATTGAGTCCTGGTAGAAAGCCCTCCACTGTAGTCCATTGTGTTGGAAGCGATACCTAATGGGGAGATGCAGTAGAGGGCTTTCACCATGGAATGTCCTCGACTTGAAGGTCCAGTTGATGTTGACCTGATTTAAATGGCAGTTTAATGGTTTACCAAAGCCTATTAAACACAATTTAATGGCCTTCTGGATTTCTGACTTAGCATATGGTATATACATTTAAGTGACAGACAGACAGAAAGATAATAAGAAAAAAAATAATGCTATATTATCATTTGTGCCTTACCTTAAGACATTTAGATATACAATCAGCCCTCCATATTTGCTGGGGTTTTCGACCACAGGACCTCTGTGAAAGTGAAAAATGCAACCTTAACATAACATGAAAAATGTCATGTTACATGTTATTTTCACATTTGGGGTTATTTTGGGATATAATGTCTACATTTATTATTGCACTGAGACATTGAATGTTTGCCCTTTTTTTGTTGGAATCCGCCCAGTCCCCTCAGGGAGATAGGGCGGAATACAAATAAAGTGTTTATTGTTGTTGTTGTTGTTTTACTGACACAAAAACACAGTATGACACAGCAAATGAGATATATATGCTGGATTTCATATCACAAAATCACAAGTCAAACACTTCTCAAGTGTTTAGGACTGTGTGATATATTTTTTATTTATTTATTAAAAACTTTTATATCCTGATCTTCTCTGCCTCCGTAGAGGGACTCAGACCAGCTATATTTTTGAATGATGCGCTCAGATCCAAGTAAGGTGGCCTTTTGCAGTTGACAGATTGTGATTTTGTCAGTGTTTGTTGTTTCCAAATGTCAACTGAGATCTTTTGGCATAGCACCCAGTGTGCCGATTACCACTGGGACCACCTGTACTGTTTTATGCCAGAGCCTTTGCAGTTTAATTTTGAGGTCTTGATAATGGCTGAGTTTTTCCTATTGTTTTTCTTCAATTCAGCTGTTACCTGGTATGGCGACCTCAATAATCCAAGCTTTTTTCTTTTCCACAACCATGATGTCTGGTGTATTGTGTTCCAAAACTTTGTCAGTTTGGATTCGAAAGTCTGACAGGATTTTTGCGTGTTCATTTTCCACTACCTTTGCAGGTTTGTGATCCCACCAGTTCTTTACTACTGGCAGGTGGTACTTGTGACATAAGTTCCAATGAAACATTTGGGCCACATAGTTGTGCCTCTGTTTGTAGTCCATCTGTGAGGATTTTCTTGCAGCAGCTGAGGATATGATCAATGGTTTCATCTGCTTCCTTCCACAGTCTGCATTTTGGGTCATCAGCTGATTTTTCAATCCTGGTTTTAATTGCATTTGTTCTGATGGCTTGCTCCTGGGCTGCAAGAATCAGGCCTTCTTTTAAACCTCAGGGGATACTTCTGTAGGAATTTATTGGTCTTCCAACATGATTCTGCTGGACCTAGAGATTTTCAGAGAAAACATTTTATTCACATCCATGAAAAATTAAATCTTGAAAAGTCAAATCAATGAACATGGGTCAACTGTACATAATAAATAAATGGGATATAATTGCATTAATAAATGGAGTGTGTATATGTGAATGGATTTTGTATATTATCAGTGTTAGTGCTAGAAGTTAAAAATTTAAAGAAGCCTTAATGAGGTGCCACTCATCAAAATCTGCAAGCATTCTACTGTGAGATTTCAGCATTTTTGACTAGCAAATATTAATATGTGAGTTATACCAACCTAAGGAGGATAATGCATCATTTTGGAATTTAAAAGTTCCAATAGAGGATATATTGGTTAATTTGTAATGCTTAGGATTGTGTTGATCCAATTGGGGGGTGATAGGGAGAGAAACTATTGACACTTTTAACAGGTCCAGTTCAAAGGTGGGAAAATAGTCCACAAGCTTTGTAGTATCCTTCTTTACAAGTCATAAAATAAAACTAATGCAAAAAAAAAAACAACCTCCTTCAGATGAGATTTTGCATTAGGGCCTTGACTGAATTGATCCACCTGCAGTGAAATCTCCCTTTTCCCCTATTGTATGAACTTTATCATGTATGAACATTTTTCCCAATGAGTCATCTTGTACATCCAAAATATGTCAGCTTCAGGTTAGTCATCTTTGCTTCTAGTGAGAATTCAGGCTTGATTTCCTGTAAGACCCATTCATTTGTCCTTTGTCACATTATTCACCTTGTGGGGATAATTGTGGGGATAATTAGCAGTCCAAAAGTCAAGAAGCCAAGGAATCCATCTGCAGCCCCCCCCCCCAAAAAAAAAAAGTAAATGAAACATGCAAAAGAGTGGTGAGGATCCATTTCCGAGTTCATAGAAAACAGATGAGTATTCAACAGTGAGAATGGCTGAGGCAGTTCTAACAGAGCTGCAGCTATGCCAAACCCCTCCTCAAACACATTGACACCATGACACCCAAGAGGGAGGCATGCCTCTTTTTAGCAGGGGATCGGATCTATAGAACTCTTCTCTAGCACTTCAGAGAAGTTGAATCTCCCCTCACCCGTAAGCATTTTTCATTGTCCAGCATTTGTAACCATAGTAGTGTGTGGGGGTCAGCAGTGGGGGCAAGTGGAATGGAAATTCCTGCTCCTTGACTGGAATAACATTTGATTTAGCTTTGTGAAAACTTATATGAATATTAAATCCCTGATACTCATTTCGGTAAATGAAAGTGAAACCCATTATATACCTTGACAGGGTCATACATAGGGCCTAACCTGTCTTTTAAAAAAAAGTCTCCCTTTTAAGCAAAAGGGTAAGTTTATTGAAAAGGCAGCACAAACAAACCTACATTAGTCATGGTTAGGACTGAAAGGTTAACCACAGTTATGCAAATTTGTAGTACAAAAGCATAATATTTCAAAAATGCATTCTAATATGTTCATTCGCTAACATCATTTTCTACTGGTACATGGAACAGCTATTGGTTCTTAAATCGCATTACATCATGGTTGTTACCACTGCTTTCCCAGTGGAAATGACCTTGATAACATCCTGCCCCCCCCCCCAGATTCCCAACTGCTTATCAGTAGACTGTTTGGGTTGTTTTTACAGTCTAATATCACTCTAATTCCCATTTCCCATTCAGCTATTTCTATATCTAGTAATAGGTACGCATACAATATCTCTCTGTTAACAATTATTAATACATTATATAACGAATAAAGTTCCTTCACTTTCATGTTTATGGCAGGAACACAGAGGGGTTCCTGAAAGACTATTCAGAGGACAGCACACTTGAATTGTTTTTTTTTTCCCTCCCTTGTAGGTGAGGGAGATGTTGATATCTTTAAATAGCTGACTTATTCCAAAATGTCTAATTATATCATTTTCAGTTATTTCTAAATCTGTTTAATATATTTCAGTATTTAATTATTTTAACAATGTTCAGTCAAATCATATTAGTATACTGCCCTGAGTTCTCATAACACAGAACAAGATGAAAATATTTTAGGAAATGAAATTATTTTAAAGTTCAAGGATTTTCATCTTGATTTTAAGACATTTTGTTGATGTCACCATTGTTTTTAGATAGGGATTCTTTAGTTTGATTCTTTACTACTACTCAAAATGTAAATGAAATGAAATAAAGAATGCTTGGGCAAGTGGTTGAAAATCCAGAAAGACCCAAGTGTATGCCTTTTGTTTCGTTCATCTACATTTACAATCATTTAAAAAAAAAACAAACACACACAACAAAAAGATAATCGGATTTCAGAACCATCTTCTGTCATTTCTCCCCTTCCTCTATAGATCCTAAATGTCTGATTTTCTACCAGGGGCAAAGTATAAAAACTATCAAAGCATCCATAAAATGAAAGATCCTACAAATTCTTCATGCTTTTGTAATTTCAGTTCTTTCAGTACACTGAACTGTATTAAGAGTAGATCATAATGCATATGTTTTCGAATTGTATATAA